AAAGCAGAAAGTATTCCTTGCCATCTTACAAAAAAAAAATTTGATGCTAAATTTTTTACATCTTTAAACAAAATGCCTTTTGCAGCCTTGCAATCCACTCTTATCAAGAATTTTTTACAAGTGGTATTGTTAGGAAGGTCGTACTAAGACGAGTCCGTAGACATGCGGTGGGTTTGAATCGGACTTTTAACAAGAGAGATACGAGGTAAAAACCTCCAGTGGCACAATCGTAATATTTTTGAAGTTTAATTTTAATAAAAGTCAGAAAAATCCCTCATTTCTCTCTCTCTCTCTCCCCGCGCGCAGCTTCCCCTCCCTTCGTTTTTTTTCAGAACAGCCGGTGGCTTTGCAAGCCACCACCGTCGCCACGCCGGACCACCGGCCACCTCCTCCTCTCTCTTCCCTGGCCAGCACAGCCCTTGAAGCCGATGAAACCCGCCGGAAAAACGCAGAAAATTTGCTGGTTTTTGACAGATTTTCCCATTGCTCGTTCTCCCTCAATTCTCCACCAAATCGGACGAATGAGGTATGAAATTTCGACTACTTTTCATGATCTAGCTGCTGGTTGGGTAGGATTGCTTCAATTTTTAGCGTAGGCAAGTCGATTTTCGAATTGAAATTCTGCCGGTGTTGGGATCACGATTCCGGCCACTTCCGTCGACTTTTTGGGGTATGTCCAAGAACAAAAGTGACTCCAAATTAGGGGTATTACCTAGGGTAGGAGTCTTGGCTCGAGATTCTGAGATTTTCCGGCGATGCGATATCACTTTGGACACCCACGCGCTGCCAGCGAGTGTGGCAGCGCGTGGGCATGGTATCAGAGCGGCATTTTGTCCCAATGCGATCCCCTGATTGTCACGAGCGCGTAGGATTTTACGGATCTCAATTCGGATAACGTTTGAACACCGAACGGATTTTACATATCGTGTGTTATCCGGGTTCAATATGTTAGAACCGTTGGATCGTTTCAAATTTAATATATGTTGATCTAGGCATTCCTAGAATCGTACAGGATTCCGCGGATCGTGAATCGGAGCCCTGGATGTTCCGATTCAATGACTTAAAGTTTAATGTTATACGATAACTGTCTGATCGTGCGATCGCGAGCGATCCGACCGTCAGATATGAACCAAATTTGTAGGACATATTTCCCAGACCTTGTGGAACCCATAGGAACTTTCGGATTGTAAAACGGAGGTCGTGGGCCCCGCGGGCCCAGTTGACCAAATGTGGAAAGTTTATGCATGTTGTTTGAATGATTCATTTGAAATATATATATTTGATTAATGGATTTGATATATTATGAAGTATTTGTGTTGTATATTTGGGTTTTGATACATTTGAATATCTTGAGTGTAGATTTATAATAATTGAGAAAGTGCTATCTTTGTTGATTTTGTATGGGGTGCTTAGAATGTTAATTTGAGTGTTATTAGCACTACCTTAGGTACCTCCCCGGTTATGGGTTTTATGTTTGAGTTTTATTTTGCCCAGGCCTGTCGGAGTTTGCCCAGGCCCTTCGGAGATTGATTTATTTTGCCCAGGCCCGTCGGAGTTTGCCCAGGCCCGTCGGAGTTTGTCCAGGTCCTTCGGATGTCTTCTTAATACGATGCCTTGGGAAGGAAGTAATAATGTTTCAGTGTGTTTTTATCAGATTTAGAATTGTGATAGATCTGAAATGTTTAGTGGTTCGGTTGTAAATAATTGTCTATTATCGGAGTTGTGACTGTTGACATGAGAACTACGTGTGGCTTGATCCCTCGGTGAGGGTATGTAGGCAGCCTAGGGTAAGGCCTAGGTGCAACCACGGGTTAAAGATTACTTCTGTGTGTTTTGAGTGTGGTGCGGACCATGTCGTTGGTCCCGAGATTCAGGTGAGAACGAGATGTGTTCATATTAGGAGGCTAAAGCCTCATATGTTGAAATTGGGATAGTTAGATGTTGTAAACTTTGCTTTCGGCTGTCATATTTATGTTTAAGTTATTAATTGCCTCATGTGAAGTACTATTTGGTTCAAGAGCTTGTTGGTAGTTTGGTTTCGGAATATTTGAAGGCCGGAGGCCAATTAGATGAATTGCCTGAGATTATATTGTGCATGCTACCGGTTGGTGTTGTTAAATGTGTTTTATGCAGGTTGGAATTTTTGGGGGATATTCAATTTACAAGGGAGATTCTGCCGAAATTTCGGTAGGAAGTCTCGTGCTCTTTTCCCTTAGTTTGGAAAAGAGGCTAAATTTTTAGTAAGTGGGCCCGGCATCGGTGTGATGTCGGAATTTCCACAGGATTTGTCTCGGGTTCCGAGGAATTCGGGGCTGGTCCTGTCACCGTAAGTAATGACCCTAATCTCTTTTTCCACGTCAACATTTATGGAAAAAAATGAAGTAGAAATTCTATTTCACGACGGTTATATAAATAGTGGTGACATAGTATGCGTCAATAACGTCGTCTGTTGTTTATTTAAAGATGTCATAATTGTATTTCACGTTTCTTGTTTGGTCATGTGTCGTGAAAGGTCTATGTAATGGTTGTGAATTTTAATTTTCGTCGTGGTATCCATTTTTTACGGCTTTATTATGTTAAAATACGTCATGTTTTGATTTTTAAACGACGTTTTTTTGTTAAAATTGGTCGTCTATTCTTATCCTTGACAATCTTTTGTCTCATTGTTCAATATACAGACGTCGGTTGTTATTTGTTAATGACGTTGTTGGTGTTAACAACGACAGGGATTCACCATCGTGGTTTGCTTCTGTAAAAGATGTCGGTCGATTTCACGACGGTTTGAAAACTGGCTACACAACAGTGAATTCCCGTCGTCTTTTGCCTTTTTTGTAGTAGTGTCATAAGAGAATTTTGGCCGCCCAATATTGTACTGAATTCATATTTGGTTTTGACCTTTTAAATCTCAAAGTGGAAATCAAGAAAAGGACAGCCTAGTCAAAACACCAAGAGAGTTATTTCAAGTAATGTGGCCTATTAGGGCCATTTACCATACCAAACTGGTTTAATGACTCTTCAGTGGAGGGCCTTCAACACAACAAACAATAGTAACAAAAGTCCATGAATTATTTTGGATTGGATAGAGCGAGACATAAAGCAAATTTCAACTTAAGGCATCCTCTATCGCCCCACATTTTGCATACATGTCCACAAGTGATGTTTGCAACACCAAAGTGAGCGGCAACTTATTCTCAACCATATAGCGATGCATGACCTTCCCTTGCTCAAGCGCGCCTAAGTGTGTACATGCACACAAAACACTCACCATAGTCACCTCATTTGCTTTAGGCCCCAGAACCTGCATTCTCTCAAATACTACCAAGGCCTCCCTATAGTCCCCAGCCTTAACATACCCATCAATCAAAGAACTCCATGACACAACATCACGCTCTGGCATCAAAACAAACACTTCTCGTGCTGAAATCAATATTTTTGAGGTTTGCTCAATTTCTCTGGTGGATTCCGACATTGTCACTTGGAGGGTTATTGTTCGATCTCCCTATCCCTTATATCTTGCTACGTCAGATAAGGTCGTTATGGTGACGGAAAGTAGCCATGAAATTGGGTTCTAAGAATATAGCGTCTTAAAATGAATGCTCCCAAGAATATATCATTGCACACAATATCAGTGTTTTTTTTTTTTTTTTGAAAAAGTAATATTCTAAACTACTCTAATAATGTACAGAAGAGGAAGTCGAAATCAGGTGCAAAGAGGCAGACATGAACCTTTCTTTGGGTATTTTTGTCATTTTATCATCCTCCCCACTGTATCCCTCTACTTCTCTCTAGAACCAATTTTTCCTTAAGAAAGCCAGTGATCAAATACATTACTACTAACCATGGTCTTAAATATCGATAATATCCCGATAATATCTGATTTTTGGGGGTCCGATATTTTAACAACTAACCATATAGTTATCGTCAATATATCGATATTATCCCGATAATATCGGAAAGATATTTTCAACACTTTTATGAATGATTTGGTCAATATATCGAGATATTATCGATAATATCCCGATAATATCCCGATATGAAACTCAAAAAATGTAGAGAACTGAAGTAGCTCATTGAACTGATTTGGGCACTCTACGGAAAGCATGTCTCCTAGAGTAATACAAAAGTAGCTCATTGAGCTAATAAACAAAGCATGTCTAGCCGACAGAATGCTCACATGCTTTTACAAAATGGATAAAATATAAAACTTAGCTTTGGATTCCTTGGTTTACAAAATGGATAAAATATAAAACTCACCAACGTTTTTTCAACTTACATTACTTACCCTACCATTCAACCACTCACCTGCTTTTACTTACCCTACCATGGCAGTAGGCGGGCAGGACCAGGAATTGGTGCCATAGGGAAGAACTATACTCGTAGAGAAAGAGGCAAGGGGACATTGTCAAGTCAAGAAGATGACTCGTTATCTATAACTTCGGACTCTGTTGGAGTAGGAAGTAGTAACTATGGTTATACTCATAACCAACCATTTCCCTACCCTTCATATCCCATTCCTGTTGGGATGGAATCAAGTGACACATGGAAAGAATCCGAGACTCAATCTTCAAATGATTTTGCTTATGGACAACGTCAACCAATCTCGGATCCATATGGGTGGCATGTTAACAATTACATGGAAAACTATTTTGGGGATTTATCATTTGATGACTACTCTTCAAAATATACTTACTCTACACATAGAGATGATGAAGATAGTGAAAATTTTGAACCTCATAGGAACTCTATGTGGTACTAAGTCACTCATGTATCTTACCATGCAATGTATAAAGTGTAAAATATTGTAGTAATTCATTATATATAAATGATTATGGTGTGTTTAATCTTCTTTCATTAATTACTACATATTTCTACACTTACGGTGTTTGCCAGTGTTGTGTGGATTTCAGCTGCACCAAAATGGATTAAGCTGCATCCTCAACTTGTGATACTCGCAAGTGCACGAGCCGTTGGTAGTATAGCGTATGTAAGTGCGAGGTCGATCCCACGAGGATTGGTGATTGAATGAT